TACTTTGGTTTTGGTTATTCTTAGATTTGATTTCAGTTATGTTAATTCATTTTTTTTTTGTAGGAAAACATAAGGTTGTTATTACAGACGTTAATGGTTATGATCACGTTTTAAGCCGATATTACGCTTTCTGGAACATGCCACGACCCGAATCCTCTGTTTTCGTATGTTACACGGTCTCTTTTGCTGCAAATATATGGAGGCAAATGTTGTTACACTGATTTCTCTCTTTGTGTACCACAGGATCAAGAATCTGCTTCAGGGTTTTTGAGTATGTTAGAGAAACAACAGTTCCATCGCGATATAGCCACGGCTGCTGAATCAGGATGCGATTTCAGCACGCGATGGATGAGGTTAGATTCGTTAAGCAAACTCCGATTTAGATTAGTTAGTGTAATATTATCACTCTTAATTAATCTGAAAATATTTATGTAGGCATCCTCCTAATTTCACTACGATGGCTACAACATCAGTTGTACCTGTTGATCTAAACGTCTTTATTCTCAAGGTTTATTTACTTCTCTTGATCATTACTCTCTTTAAGTAAGTTTCAAGATTTTACGCGAAATAAGTATTGAAATGTTGGTCTTTCTTACTCTAGATGGAACTCGATATAGCGTTCATGATGGAGATTTCAGGGGATAAAAATGGTTTAGACCGTTTTGTGAAAGCCGCAAAAGCGAGAAAGAAAGCCTTTGAAACTGTGTTTTGGAACGAAAAAGCAGGACAATGGCTAGATTACTGGCTTTCTTCCAATGGTGATGTAAGTTACACAATCTTAGTTACGATTTCGGATTTCTAATAGTATTTCTTGATGAGAATACATATGCGAGCGAGTTTGTTTCTTCAGGAGCCTGAGACATGGAAAGCTGAGAACCAGAACAACAATGTTTTTGCATCTAACTTTGCTCCAATCTGGATTAATTCATTCAATTCAGGTAAAACTATGCTTACTTGTATAATAAGTACACATGCTAATATGTTTTGTATATGAACGTTTTATCTTTGTAACATGTAGATGAAATTCTAGTCAAGAAAGTTGTGAAAGCTCTTAGAAACTCAGGGCTCATAGCTCCTGCCGGTATCTTAACCTCTTTGACAAACTCCACCCAACAATGGTAAATGCAACATGTG